TTTAGGGTATAGGGTTTAGAGGTTTAGGGTTTAGGGTTTAGGGGTGTAGGGGTTTAGGGTTTAGGGTTTAGGGTTTAGGGTTACAGAGCCCGAAGAGAAACCCCTGTAGGAACCTTATACAACCACAAGGCAGACTGCCTAGAGCCTGAAAGGGCCCCTAATTTAGAGAGCTACTAATATCGCCAACTGCCCATCAGCATGCTCCATCTACCCTCAACTAGACCTTACATACCCCGCCAAAGCCTGCACCCTGAGCCCTAAACCCCTAAAGCTCTAAAGCCCTAAACCCTGAGCCCTAAACCCCTAAAGCTCTAAAGCCCTAAACCCAGAGCCCTAAACCCCTAAAGCTCTAAAGCCCTAAGCCCAGGAGGAGGATCCCCTCACGCAGACACTCTCGGTCCAGCTCCCTAGCTCGAACGGGTTTCGGGGGGTGAAAGCCCCCATTTTGCCCCGAAACAAAACCCGAAGCTCCTAAGCCAATAAACGGTTTAGGGTTTAGGGTTTAGGGTTTAGGGTTTAGGGTGGTTTAGGGTTTAGGGTTTAGGGTTCAATAACCCCCTAAACCCTAAGCCCTAAACCCATTCTGCCCCGAAGCAAAACCCGAAGCTCCTGAGCCAATAACCCCTGAGCCTTACCCAATTACTAGGGAAATCCCTTAAACCCCTGTACCCTTAAGTCCGAAACCCTTGAGCTTAAACCCTAAAATCCTAGATCCTGACCTGACGATCCTAAAACCTGTTCCCTTGATCCTAATTCCTAAGACCCTGAACCCTAAAACCCTAAACTATGCCAACTATGCTTGATCCTAAATCCTAAGACCCCTAAACCCTAAAACCCTAAACTATGCTTGATCCTAAGTCCGAAGACCCTAAACGATCCTTGACCCTAAATCCTAAGACCCTATAAACCCCAAAAACTTACTCAAACCCTAAAGCACTCACTCCCCCGGGGCTTTTGCGAAGTGAGGCTCCTCGGACGCATCCTCGAGTCGTCGAGTGATTCCGAGGAGCTTGCGGAGGGGGGCTTGGGGTTTAGGGTTCCTTGGAGCGGTTCTTAAACAGGAGTTTAGATATAATGTAGGGGCCTAAATTATTTGTGGGGTTCCTTATTATAGTTATAGTATAATGGGCCCTGAAACCCTGTCCTAGGTCCTAAGTATTAAGGCCCCTATATTACCGCTGTTTACAGGGATTCAGGGTTTAGGGGTAGCCAGGCAGTTGATAGAACTCACAGCCAGACCTATTGAGATAAGGAGCCATGACACTTTCAGCCCACCTGATGCCTTGTGCTGTGGAACAAGCATGTAGTTCTAGATCTTATGCAAAAACGTTGTCTTTGGCAGCGAAATTTCCTACATTTGCAATGCCGACATAAATTGAGCAGGACATGGTCCAAAACCCTGTCTACCTTACACAGCTTCAGTGTGTTGCCCAAAGGTGCGTCCCAGATGAGAGTGAGAATTATCGCGAGCTTAAGCCTCGCAACCCTTAGCCGCCCCCCCCATGCAGAAATAGATCCCGGCTCTAATATATGCGACTGCACTGACCCCTCAACCTCAAGACCGTAAAACCCGAATATGGAAGCTTGCATAACAATGTAGATATGGCATATAGCAAAACGGCTAAGATATCCTGTAAAAATCGAGACATACCGGTTTACGGCTCAGAGTTTAGCAGTTGAGATACCTTCTGTAAGGGATGCCTGTAACGGGGCTAGGGTGTAGCGCCCTGTCTAGCTGAGAGGGACATCCTTGTAGTTCGCAGCCTTCGACACTGACCCCTCTTAGTAGAGTGGGTAGCCTTTAACCTTTTCGGTCCATTATCATCCCTCTATAATCCGAGTATAACCCCAAAGGTCAACCTTCCTTAAGGAGGACATGGAGCTCTCAACGAACAGACACGAGAGTCCATATCTTTTTGGACTCGAGCGAGAGTGGCGGTCTGGCCTATGCCTAGTCAAGCTCGACGTGGCCAAGGCTTTTGATTCAGTCAGTCAACCGAGAGCGTTACTGCAGAAGCTGGGACCGAGGATGGGTGATTGCGCCAAGGTCCGGTGTTGGTGGTCGCTCTTGCAGAACAAGCAGGCGGTGCTCCAGTCGCCGGTGGGGAACCACCATGCTCCCCATGTCACAAGGCAGCATTCTTCGCTCTGGGCCGAGGTGTGCCTGCAGGAAGCACCGGACAGGTACCAATGGCACCGGGCGACGGCGGTTAGATAGGTAGCAAATCGTTTTCCAGGGTTATAATAGGGTAATACCAAGTATTAGGGGACGTATAGCTCCACTTATAACTACCCATGAACCTCCAAGTAGGGGGTCTCGGTCTGCCCTACGTTTAGTTTGTTAATGTGCTGTTTGTTGTTTACGTGTCTCAGGTTTCTATTAGTGCGTCACGAAGCTTTAACGGGGCCTACAGGGCTGTATACGGTTTCAGAAGGTTTGCAAGCGCGGTATGGTTGATCATGGTGCTGTTCGGACATTCGGCGGCTTCATTGATTGAGGTTCCCTACTTGTGCAGCATCCTAGAGAACAAAACCTATAAAAACAACATGGCCCTTATAAGCATGGGGCCCTATACCCTTATACGTTGAGTCCATATATGGTACATGAACCTTAAGCCCTATTCGGGTTCATACGTGTAACTACCCATGAACCTCCAGGTAGGACTATCCGTAAAGCCTCGTGAAGCACTGCGTGGAGAAGCCATAGAAGCCTGAGACAGGTAAGAACAAAAAAACATTAACGAACCCCAAACCCTAAACCCTAATACCCTAGACCCTAAACACTCAACCCTAAACCCTAAACCCTAAACCCAGGCCCCCTAGGACTACCCTGAGCAGACCCGTGAGGACGGAGCAGAAGATCTGGCGGTGGAGGCCTTCGACGAGCCTGAGGCGAACGAGATCACGGGATTAGGGTTTAGGGTTTAGGGTTTCAGGGTTTAGGGTCTAGGATT